TGCACGCCGTAACAGCATGGGTGTTACCCTGGGACTACGGGAGTGTCAGGAGCCTGTAGTGGCCACCGTGCAACTGCCCAGCATGGCCAAAGAAGGTCCAAATGTGTTGCATCAGTCAGAGAGAAGATCCAAAATCACGTTTAAACTGTGGTTTCTATTGAATGTGCGTCATCTTTGACCATCAGAAAGTTGAAAAATCCTAAATCAGTCCCTCCCTAATTATTGTTCCTTTATTTTTCAGTTGTTTCGTTTTTGCACTACAGGATATTTTCAACGCAGGACCTTCACACTAACTATATTCCAAGCCCTTTTCTTAGTTTTTAATTTTGAACAGGGTTTCACTATGTCTCCAGGTTGGGCTCAAACTTGGATTCCTCCTGCCTCAGCCTTCCACAGTGTTGGGATTACAGGCATGTGCAACCATATCCAATGATTTTCTAGAGCTTTCTTTCCACTCTTCTAGCGTCTCAATCTTTTCATGCTTCAATCTCCCCCAAATTAAAAAAGAAACAATAATAGAAGGAAGTATACTTTTTGGGGGGCAAGTCATTTGCAAAGTTAATCTCCTTGATTTTCTTTGTTTTGTTTTGTATTTTGAAAAGAAGTGAGCCAGACTTTTAAAGGGAAAAATAAACATTTGAATTGAGATTGTCATGAGTTGTCATCATGTGTGGCCTTTATTAGTTATTGTGTATGTTCAAATGTTCACTGTTATGACAATAGATGAGTAATTTAGAGCTTTTGTTTTTTAAACTCACCAGGAAAAAATTAGTAAAAAAGTCAAATCATATCAGCAGGTACTACCACTAATCTTGATTGCAAAGTTGATGGCCTTAAAAGACACCTAGGAGATTAGGAAAGCAGGAAAGCACCCTTTTGGGTGTGCCTGGTACATCGTGGGAGTGTGACCTTGGGGAATGTATCTGGTCCCTGGCCCTTTCTTGGGGACTCTTTCTCTTTTTTCTGCTCCCAGGCTGCCATGAATTGAACAATGTTCCTTCACCACATCCTTCTACCATGTCATTTCCACCTTGAAGTCAGCTGACCATGAACTGAAACTTTTGAAACCATGAGCGAAATTAAACCTCTCCTTCAAATTGTGGGTATTGGGTATTTTGTCCTAGCAATAGAAAGGTGACCAACATGGTAAGCAATTCATACATAGAAAACTATAATGATTAACAAAAAGACAAAGGGACTGTTAACTCTTATAAGTCATCAGAGAATTGCATATTGAAACAGCATCACTTCAAACTTCAAAAGTGTTGCTGATGAAGACATCAGCAACACTTCCAAAGTTGAATAAAACCAAGTGCTTCAGAAGACAAGAGACATAAAACTCTTGTGCGCTGCTTGTGGGACTGTGAAGTGACACAGCCACCCTGGAGGATTATCTGATGGTGCTTAAGAAGAAAGTCTATGCAAATCCTGTGACCTAGAAAGCCCTCAGGTCTTGACCTCAGAGTTACATTTGCTGATGGTAGATCCACACAACAGAATTCCATGTAGCAGTCAGAAGCAATAGACCAGCTTTACAAACAGCACGTGGACAGGTCTTTAAGACAGCACGATGAGTGAAAAAAGGAAGAAGATTTATAGTTTCATATTAAATTACTATTCTTATAAATTAAAAACACATGTATACCCCCAAACCACTATATATCTGTTAAAGGGATGTGTCAGCCTGGGTGTTGGATCTGGGAGAGGTTGGTGAAAGAAGAAAGCAGGTTTGGGGATGTAAAAGAAAAAAAAAACAAAACCAGAAGGGTCTGTGCCCAGGTCCAGGAAGACGATGGCGGGACAGGATCTGAGGTGCGTGGCTCACTTGGCTCTACACCTGACAGCAGCAGAGGGGAGACACACCAGAAGAAGGGAAAGGGAACAAGGGAAGAAGGGAGGGAAGGGACAAAGAAGATAGACATATGGTCATTGTTTTCCAGGAATCCAGCGTAGACATGATGGATCCTCATTTTAAGAGCAGAAAAATAAGAGCCACTGAGCAACTAAGTGCCTTAGAAAGTCCATGCCTCAAAACAAAAAACTGAAAAAGGACTAGGGACATAGTTCGGTGCAACCACCCTGGGTTCAGTTCTCAGTATTGCACAAAGGGGAGTGATGAATTAAAAAATAAAACCTTTAAAAGACTGGTCCAAGGTCACATGGCAAAGGGAAACCTAGGTTAAGTCTTCTTGCTTCTGATTCAAGCTCTTCTTATGGATTCTTTCCTGAACGCAAAGGAGAAATGTGTTTTTAATGGCCCAAATGCAAGCACTATGCCAGATATCTAAGATGGTGGCCAAAACAATGCAAGAAGGAAGGCTACCAAGTGGGCTTGGGCAATGAACAAGGGCTATGCTCTGACTGGCCCAGGCAGCTGGGCAACAGCTCAGAGGGACTGCGAACCAATACTTAGAGCAGCAAGGAGAGTCAAAGCTTTGTATGCCATTGCCATATCCTCAAGGACTAGGTGGGACTTGCAGAGGAAGTCTCAGTGGGCTTTCTCTCTCCTTGTTTGGCTGCCCTGGGCTGCACCAGGAGTGTCCTTTCCTCCTAACTCAGCTCTGTGTAAATCCGTACACAGTTATGACTTCTTCAATTGCAAAGGAGTGAAATGGACCACAGAAGAAAAAAATGAGTGTAGTAATTTGCTCGTGTAATTTTCCAGCCCCTGGAACTAGCCTACTTCAGGTATGGCTAAATCCAGACTCTGTGTCCCTCTCGGTCCCTATCTCTCTTTCTCTCTCTGTCTCTGTTTCTGCCTCTGTCTTTCTTTCTCCCCTCCCCCTCCTACTTTCTCTCTTCCTCCTATTTGGACCCCTCTGTTTTCCTCAGTATCTTCTTCTTTCCAAGGCATCATCTCCCCTCTCTCCCAGATAGTTGCTGGCTGGTCTAGGCTGATATTCTGCCCACACTCAGCAACCTGAGAGCATCTCTTTTCCTATAGCCAGAACAAAAGTTGTAGGAAGGGCTGTCATTGGTCTGGTTCATGTCATATGCCGTGGTCGGAACCAATCCATGCAGCCTGGGAAGCCTGGGTTATATACCTAACCCTCCAAGTGTATGTGTGTGTTGGAGACAGAGTGAGTATTAAGGTCAATATCAACTAGGGAGTAGCAGTTACCCTAGTAGGAAATCAGATTACTGTGTAAGCAGAGATAATAGATACCTATTACTAAACTGACGTATTTTATACATATGTGTGTATTTGTGTGTATGTATTTATATGCATATTTGTATATAACTTTGCGTTATTAAATATTTATTTATTTCTGCTTAACCAATATGGTCACATGGCCCAAAATCACAAAGGTACCAGAAGGGAGAGACAATAAAGAATCTCCTTTCCATCCCCATCTCATCTGCCCAACCAACCATCTCTCTTGAGGCAGCCTATAGTATGGATGGTACAAAGCTCTTATTGTCATGTGTATACACAAGCCAATTAGTAACCCATTCTCTGTCCTTCCCACATCCCCTTGGGACCCACATGGACATCTCTGTACTTGGAGTTTCCCCTCTGTGTTTGCATTTCATGGCAGAGGGGAAAGTCCAGGCTAGGCAGGGCTACATGGAAGCCAGTCTGGGACAGAACAGGGTCACGAACTACTGCCCACTGAGCTCCCTGCCAGCTGCTGGCTGAGTCAGGACCCTTCAGCCCCCAAGGGAGGAGCTACAAGGGAACCCCAGCCACCATGATGGTCCTGGCAGCAGCAGTACCTCTAGCATATGATCTTGGCCTGCCTCTGACCTGACATGGATTTTCAGGCCCAGCCTGAAAAGTAGGAAGTGACCAGGGACAGGGGTCTGGATGAACAAGGATCTGTTCTGATTGGAGGAGCAGGCACAGATGTGAGTTCACCAGAGCTGGCCTCAGCCCAGGGTAGCCATGGGAGGGGCTGGGGCTATGCAGTCTCATGCATCCCTAAGCCTGGACCTCTTGGGCAAACCAGACCTCAGCCTATCACTTCCCCCTGTATCTTACCAATGGGAGCGCTAAAGGGTGGCTTTCACAATCCAGGAAACCTCTGGCAACATATCCAGGATTCCGGTTTGGCTCCACTGCTGGTCACATGCTATTTCCCTAGGTGCTTTTCAAATACGATCCCATTGACCCTCAGCCACCGCATGAGGCAGGGAAGGGCATGGCTCCCTTTGAGAGGTACCAACACTATGCCAGGGCAAGAGTGACTTCACAAGGACATGGACCCAGGTGTGCACTGTAGCCCTCAGCCTCCCTCTGCACAACACCCAGCTCTTTCCTCTGCCTCTGCCTGGCAAAGTTCCAGCAGGACCATACAATTAAAAGCCTGACTATGGCCAATCACAGGTCACAGTCACAGCAGGGTCACTTGCACCACACCAGACATTTGTTGAGCTGAAGCTCAGGGGAGGGTTTCCCATATACCCAAGGCACCCTGAACCCACATGGAGGGGCCAGGAGCCTCTTCTTTCTTCTCCACTGGAGCTGGGAGCTGGGCTTCCAATGGCCAATGGCATGGACAGGTGCAGAGCAGTGTGGGCCACAGTGGCTAGTGTTGTCCTAATTCTCTCCCCTGGAGCGACAAATTCCATCTCCCTCCAGCCCGTGTGGCAGGAACGTCATCCAGGTCTCCTTGGAACTCAGCACACAGTAACTCCTTTCTCCTTTTGTGGTCAGGAAATGAGTTTTGCTCTGCTTTTCACTTGGGGGCTTATTATGCAATTGCTTAAAATATGCAACGGGATGCAGATATTTATATGAGGACGTTGAAATGATGGCTTTTTAATGGAAGCAATCTAATTATGCTATATCTGTGCTCCTTTCGTTTTTTAAAAATTATTTTTGCAGTGTTAAAAAAAAGAAGAGGTGTGTGTGTGTGGTACGTGAGTGTGTGTGTGTGTGTGTGTGTGTGTGTGTGTGTGTCTGGGTTGTGTTTTTGTTTTTGTTTAGGGTATGTGGCTTTATTTAATCTCCCAGTCTGTTTAAATGGATTGAAAAAAAAATCCAAAAAGTATATGGCTGTGATTTAACAAGATAATTAGCAGCTGCACTTTATAACAAAATCTAAGGCAATTATCACTTCAGGAGGACCCGGAGGAATCCCAGCTGCCAACATCCTGCTTCGCTGCCAGAGGGAATGACATCATAACTGCTCCAGACAAAAGGGAGGAGGTTTCTGGTCACCGTGATGTCACTTGTTCCAGCAGACAGTCCCAGACAGCTGGGAGACAGGTGGCTCCTTCCTACGATGGAAAAGAAGAAGATAGGCACCAAAGGACATCAGGGCATTGTGGCCCCAAGTGCTGTCCACCACTCCCAGGGGGCCACCAAGACACAGCATATACTCAGGCTCCTCCTCAAAAGCTCAAAATGGCTTCTAGAGAAGTTGAATTGTTCTTCCCCTCTTCTCTCTAGCCCTATTTCTAAATCTTTATCCCAACTAATCAAATGCAGTGGTTTATTGGACCCTGTTCATGGCCAAGTTTTTCACAATGTAGCCAAAATGTGTCCCTTTGAAAATGAGAAATGCTAAATTGCATCAGATAGCAAGCCAAAGCAAGCTGAAGAACCAGATTTGTACTTCCACTGCAGGGTTGCTTTTTTTCCACCCTGTGGCCAACTATTTATCAATCTAGGCTCCTGAGTGCTTTTTCAATCAAAAACAGAGCACTCTAGCACAAAATTGTCAAATTCTAGGTAGCAAACAGGAATTTGTCGTTGATTGAATTTTATGTGTAAAATTGAGCCAGCAAATGCTTAAGGGCATTGTGGGACAGCCCTCCAGTGACTGCACGGCCAGTCTTTTGCTGGTTCTGAAAGACAGAGAAGTGTGACCTGATTTTCCTTGCAAATTGTAGTTAGGGATCCCCAAAGTGACTACTCACAGGCAGCCAACTTCGCCACCCCCCAGCCACACCCCTTCCTCAAACTATAAAGCAGCAGGCCACACCTTGTACATCACATTGCCAGATGACATTCTTGGTGCCTGGGTGGGACTCTGTCCTCAATCTTTTGACAGATAAACCACAAAAACTGCGTTTGCTCATGCGCACTGGCTTCTCCTTCCCTCCCGGAGCCATCTCTCCCTTGAGCCCAAGTTATACACCGGAGGAGGAAAACCCTTGGAGCTGAGTCTTTCATTTCCTTCTCCCAGTCTCAGCCTCAGTAGGCTTCTGGGCCTCACAGGAAATGAAATGAGACTTGAACGGCACCAAAAAAGCCACCAACTCCTGGGTCTCACTCAAATCACGAGCTTCACTCCTGAAGTAAGAAAAAGACAGGGCAGCCCCAAGTTCTGGAATGGGGCAGAGTGCTGCCCTGGGGGCTAGGCATGCAGCCCACACACAGCAGATCCTTTGGCCCTATGTCATTCTCAGCCTTCTAGAAAACTTCCTGCTTCCTTTATGGAAAACAGGTGTCCATGTCTTCATGCATTAGGCTGGATGCCAGGCAAGACCCTAGGCCAGGGGGTTGTTCCTGTTATCTATTGTTGTTTTTCAACTGCCCCAGCCTTAGTGATATAAGCACCAGTCAGGGCAGTATGCTGTGGATTCCGTGGGTCGAACCCAGACAGGACATGCTCTGCTGTGTCTGGTGCCTCTGCTGAGAAGACCTGAAAGGCTGAGGCAGACTTGATGGCTGAAGGCTGGAAGCATCTGGGGTTCTTTTGCTCATAGGTCTGGTGCTTGGGCTAAAATGACCAAAGGCTGGGCAGCTTGGACTGTTAACCACTGCATCTACATGTGCCTGCATATAACCTCCTTGTGGGGTCTGGACTTCCTCACAGTATGGCAGCCAGGCATCTTCCATGGCAGCTTGGGGCTCCAAGGATGAGTGCTCAGTGAACAAAGCGGAAAGTGCATGCCCCCCCCACCCGTCCTGAGAATCAAACCCAGGGCCTTCACACTGAGCTATATCTCTAGGGGTTTTTTTAATTGCAAATTCATGATCGTCCTGCCTCAGCCTCCCAGAGTATTGGGATGACAGGATGTACCAGTATACCCTGCTTCCACAGCCTTTATGACGGATTCTTGGAAGTCACATAATATCTGTATTATAGTAGTATTTTGGTTGAAGCACTCACAAGCCCACCTGGATTCAAAAAAAGGAGGCCATAGAACTGTCTCTTGAAGGAGTATCACGAATTTGCTGCCATAGTTCAAAACTCCTGAGGGGCTGACTCTCATTTTTAGCCAAGCTGAGCGCTGAAGGCTTTCCATCAGTAACTGAGATGTGAGGGCAACGCTCGGAGAGAACAGGAGAGGAGAGGGCCTGGAGCAAACTTCAATTCGCAATTTTGGTATTAGTCTCTAATTCTGCTCCTTGTTTCCTGAGGATTCTATAGGTCTGGATGCAGGGTAGAGTAAGCAAGCCCATTGCTCCAGCCCAACGGAGGCTTCCATCTGGAAGTGAAGCAGTCAGAGCCGTGGAGGATTTGAGACGAAGGCCAGAGTCCCTGGCAAAAGAGCCTTCTGGGGTGTTTGTTTGTTCCCGCTCCAGCCCCCAAATGTATCTAATAGCTTGCCTAGGCCTCTCAAACTGCACCCAATACTGGTAAGAACCTTTCCAGTGCTGCGAGAGGTAACAGAAGAGGAGTACCCGGTCAGTGGAGGCTGGAAGAGAGCTTTCAACCTATGGAAACCCACCCTCCAGGGCCCACACTCTTTGCCCTCACCCACCCGACCGTTCTTACAAACGCTGAGGGAATCAGGGTTCAGGGGTCCCATGACTTATCCAGGGTCACCAGTGTGTCAGTGGCTGAGCTGAAACTGTGTTACCCTGCCTTCTGCTCTAGGGTACTTTCCGGCGCTGGCTAGAGGCCCGGGATTACACTCAGGAGACTCACCACTAATTGCCAGCATTTGGCCAGCTCAGCCAGCTGCCCTGGGCCCTAGGCAGCTCCGGACGTGCCAGGAGGGTCCTGCCTACTTGCGGCAGCCCACAGGGGCCCCCTGGGCTGCCGGGCCGCACTGCTGCAGCCTGCGGTCTCCCCTGCTAATGGCAGCGGCTGCGAGCGGAGCGAAGCCGCAGTAATTACAGCATCAAGGAATCACAAATGGATCTGCAAAGATGACATTAGGAGCATTAGACCTGGCACGGCTGCCTCCTGAGAGGTGGCTGGGAGGAGGCTGAGGCCAGGGCCAGGGACAGAGACAGACACGCTTCTGTTTCACCCATCCCCCATCTTCGTTCCCAGCCTGGGCTGTGATGACAATGGCAAGGATTCACAAGCCCCTCACAGAAAGCACGTCAGCCGCCAGGCTCGTGTGTGTCAGAGAAGATAACAGATGTCTCTCACAGTGAAGTAATTGCTTGAAACACAACTGGACAACCCCCCAGGATTTTGCACTAGGGGCAAGGAGCCAGACTTTGGGTATAGGCTGACCTCATGGCAGCCCCCTCCCCAGTTCTCATGATCCCTTGACTCCCTAATGAGCTGGTGCAGCCTGAAGCTCTGGGGAAGGTAATTATTATGTCACTGGATGCTGCTTGCCCCTCCTACGAGATTAGTTGGGGTGATGGCAACAGGGCAGGGCTTCCTGGAAGGAACTTGTCCCTGGAGAAATTCCCCAGAGGCTAGAAGGTGTTGCAGGGTAGGACTGGCAAAGGGCAAGGTCTTGGTCAGTTATTGTCTTCCAAAACCTGAGAAATGGGTCCAAAATGCCAGGCTGCCTTTGCCCAGAGCTGGCACCAGTAGGTGTCACTGTAAGAAAGGAGCCCCCCACCCACCCCAGGGATGCTGTCTGAGGACTGTGTGGTAAAAATAGAGCTCGCCCGGATTCCCATTGCCAAGTCGCCAAGCCTGGTGATTTATAAGGCTGGGAGCAGACATGTGTGTAAATGTTTTTGCGTGTGAGATGTGTAGCCAACCGCAGGCTTGCTTTTTCAAACTTACAAGGAGAGCAAGAGAAGAAGGGAGGCAGGGAGAGAAAAGGCAGCCAGGGTGGGAAGCACATGGGCCACTTTTATGTAACACTCCTCTGATACACGCCGCAGTGGGGATTGATGCTCTCTTTGAAGTAAATTGCATCCTGGTGCACCATAGCATGAAAGTTAAGATTTACCATGGCTGGGACCTCCGAGACCCTGCTGGAAGCTAGAATAATTAGCACAGCATTTGGCTGCCTCTCCTCCCGCTCTGCGGGTGGTGACAGGAGTGGCACTAATAGATCTTCCAGGCCTGAGCCCAGTGTGTTTGTCGTGAGGTCCATGGTGGTAGTGGGGAAAGAGGACCCTGGTCAACTGAAGGAGAAGAAATAGGAGCTGTGGGGCGGGGACCTGCCCCTCGTGTGGCTCATTGGCAAACCACTTTGTCCCTCCAAAGGCCTCAGGTGAGTTCATCTCTAAAACAGGCTCCAGGGCCAGCATCAGACACATCACAGGGGGACCTTTTGGGGGTATCTGGCCAGTCTTGCTGTCCCCTGGACTATTTCAGCTCCAGTATTCAGTGGTTGTAAGGAGCCAGGACCTAAGCCTCTAAGGCCTCCACCTCCTGTAGACTCCTTCCCTCTGTCCTTTCCTGGGGCCGTCCATTTTCATGCTCAAAAAGCTGAGAAGTCAATCAATCAACACACCCTGAGTCTCAAGGCAAGAGTCCCTATAGCCTTGGGTTCAACCCAGTTGTGCCAATAACCAGCTGTATGACCTTGGACAAGTCCCAGACCCTCTCTGGGCCTCAGCTTCCACTCGTGTGTGAGGATGGGGTTAGGTTTAGGCCAGATCATCTTAGGGGGTCTCTGCTAACATTCTGTGATATATCTGACCACACACATGCTCCACCCGGACCACCCTCATAGAAGAGTCAGGCATCAAAGTGTAGAAATACTGCTCCTTTATGGAATATGGATACTGTGACAGGATGCTGGGAAAGAGGCAGCTGGCACTGCTCACTGCAGAGATTCTAAGTGCTCACTCAGCAAGGGCTTTCCGAGGTTGCCACGAGGCTGGGGCATCAGTTACCTCTTCCCCAAAACGCAGCAGCTTTCCAGACTGTGCCCAGTGATTATAAGAAACCCACATCAAGAAGCAGCTTCCACACTTTTATTTGACACACATTTGTAAGATTGCTAATAAAAGTGTCTCCCCTTCACATTTTAAGGAAACGGAAGCTCTGGCTCAAATAAGTGAAAGGAGTGTGTCAGAAATATAACTTGTAGGTTCAAATCCACAAGGAGTACAAATCTCAAGCCAGTCACACTAGCTGGGGGAATTCAGGTAGATAGGAAAGTCTCAAGTTTTGGAG